ATGTGTCTGCTGCAAAAACAAAGGGGTGAGAGAACAGAGAGTGAGGCACAAGAGCATAACAAACAGCTTTTTGTTGCTGTATTTGTTGCTGCTGCCTCTGCTGCTGGCTCCTCAGTTGAGCAGACATTAGAGTAGCCCACTGACACTTCCGTTTAGGCTTTGTTTTTATACCCAGTACTTGCAGAGCTAAAGGGCTTGTGGAACTAGTGAACTGCTTTCAACCGCATAAGTGAAGCAAGGAAAGAAATGCTTTAAGGAACTTCCTAAAGCGTATCCTCTAGTCTTTAGTCTATATTTTCTCTCTGATCTTTTCTGTGTTCATGAAACGGTTGCAGCTCATGCCTTAAAAAAGATATGTGTGTGCATGTAGAGAAGGAGCAGGAGCATGCTGCAGAAACAAAGCAATTAAAAGCTTTAACTTAAAGTAGAGAGAGCCTCACATTTTATTTGTTTGCTCTGGGCGAATGTGCTCTCAGAACGTTTGAATGTTTTAAGCACACTTTTCATGGCTTTATTTATTTATGGTTGGCTAGTTTGATGCTTATTAAATAGTTTTGCATTTGAAATTTATTTCAGCACAAGCCCACATCTTTTCTGCAGGGCAATAATTTTTGGCTTTTGCCATCTGAAACACGCACAGGAATACACACATAATTTACAAGCTCTTGACTTTCACACACAATTCATGTTCGTTTCATTTTCATTTATGCATATAAATATTTCTTGGAGTTTTATCTAACATTTCAGACATTTAATTGAGGCAAATTTCATTTAAATGGCAATGCGAAAACGAGTATTCAAAGGGAATTAGTTGATAAATGTTAAACATTCTCTGGTTTTTTATTGTTTATTTATTTGCACATTAAAATGTATTATTAAATGGTTTTGATAAGTCAAGAACCATTCACGAGCAGCTTTCGGGGAGCAGCGCTTTGATTTCTTACAAATTTTCTCGCACAAGTCCTCTCAGATTCAGTGCAAATGACAGGGCGTGTCATGCACTACCCCAAAAACAAAACCTAGACATGCGTGGAGGTTGTCTTTCCTGCTTCTCCACAATGTCTTACAATGTGTGTTCATGCTACTTAAACTTGAGCAAAATGTTCTGTCATTTTGACATCATTACACCCAAACACATGCATTAGTTCTGCTTTAGTCTTATGGAACCCATGGAACGGCGAAGAACGGGTGGGGGTGGGTGAAACTATCATGCTGAAGCCCGAGTATTAGGCGACGTGAGTGAAGAAAAAACAAAGGAAAAAGCGCTGGAAAAATGGGAAAAATAAGCAAAACTAACATACTTTGGTTGGCATAACTGCGGAGTGGAGCTCTGATGTCAGAGCTGCTGGAATAATAGATTCACGCATACTCACTCTGGCCATGACAATGAGAGATGGTTTTGTGTTTGTGTTGCCTGGAAAGTGCAGATCAAATGCAGTTAACTAGCTTGTTGACATCTTCACACACAATTTCCCCGCAAAACGCACAAAGACACACAACCAAATGAATTTTTGTGGGTTATTTTCTTCTTTCAACAGCATTTACCTAAGCAAAAAACTCAGCATCCTAAGCACTTTTCTCAGCACACGACGGGGACACCTGACCAAAGATGAAGATGAGGCAGAGAAAATCCAATATCAGACACCGACCCAAAAAGGCAACATATAATAGAGATATATATATATATATATATCTCTGTATCTGCAGAACACGAATATATTTTTCATAGGTTAAGAAAAATGAAGAAAAATAATGCTGTGGCCAAAAGGATTGCCAGGTACAATTGCTACGTGTGTTTGCAACAAATTGCAGCATAAACACTAGAAGCAGCATCACTCTGCCCCTCTCTCCACCCTTTGCCGGGCGACTGTGCTATATGTGGGGGGGAATGGGCAGAGAGTGGGAGAGTGGCACTCATGCAAAAGTAAACGATTTTTAAATGCAATTCCACAAATGGCCCGACCAGACGAGACCTGGCCCCCATTGTCACAGCAAAGTTGTCAAAACATATTATATGGTCCGGTTAAATTTTAATGTCCGTAGAAGATGCAATTTTTAAAAGCATTTTCATTTTGATTTGCTCTGGGCCCACTTGGCCAATCTTATGGAATTCCCAATGAAATATTTATGCCAGCAGACGAGCAACAGAAAAAACAAACGAAACCCACCCAAAAGACTGTGTCTGCACTCATGTCCCCTGTTCATGCTCGTTCCAATTGAAGCCGAAGCCAGATTTTGACCCTCATCGAGGCACACATGTACCTTTGGTCAGTGATCCTCTTGACTCCAGCCTGCAAATCCCAGATGCTCAAGAAGCTCTTCGAGTGTGGACCAACGCGCACGGACCCTGTGCCCGGGTCCAGTTGCTGCGTGCCACAAGGCAGACAAACTATTTCACCGCACTCGCACTTGCATACTTTTGCGGCCTGCATGCCAAAAGAGTCCTCACCCAGACTCTAAGCATTTGAACAGAGACGCATGCTATAAGAAATACACTGCAAAAAATTTATGAAATACTCTAGGAAAATATTGCTTTCATTTAGGGTCGTGAATACCATAAGAATATAATCTTGATCCAGGATTTTGGGTCCCTTTTTCAACTGTTAAAACTAAGTTCTTTGTGTGTCATTATTTTTCAAGTGTAAAACATTTTCGAGAGTGTCTTTTGAGTGGTGTTTGAGGTCTGGCACATACGCTTAGGTCAACGAAATTTCAGCGAGGAAATTTTAAGGAATTTTCAATGAGCTCTGAGTCGCACTTTAAACTCCTTTAAAATATAGTTCAGAGGTATATATTTCGCTTCCTTTACAGTGCATTCCCGAAGTCACGAGTTCTTTCTATGTTTTTCCCTCAGTATTCTATCTACACCCTCACCATTTAAAAATAATCTCAGTCTCTGGGTAGCTTCGTAGCAATAGCTTCATTGCATACTTTTGCCAACAGAATGTTACAAATATGCTTGGCATACGAACGATGGCATGACTACTCATGCCTGTGGCATGTGGCTGTGTGTCTGCGTATCTGTGTATCGGTATCTCTGGCTGTGGCTGTTACTATATCTGTATATCTTCGTAACTGCCTACCGAAGCCCATTTATTGTTCTTTCCGCACAGACGACAGTCAGCCAGTCAATGAGCACAAACAACACGGAAATGGAACTGGCAAAAAAAAAAGAGAAGATGTTTCCAAAAGCCAAAACAATGCAATAAACGTAATTACAATTGAAACGTCCCTGAGTGGGCGAGCGGGTTGGGGCCAATAACGAGGACAACATGTTTGTCAACTGGCACACCCACCCGTACATTGGAATTTATCAATAATTCCCATACGGACAGCTACGAAGTCCTTTTCTTTGCCAATTACACACGCACACTGCCTGGCCCAGGAGACGGACTTGCACTCCTTTTTTCACAATACCCGCCCAATACCCGTACGTGCTGGTATCTCTTCTCAGTTTGCATTGCTGTCCGGGCTTACTTCATTTCATTGCCCGTAGTAGTTATGGCATCCACAGTGAATCAGTGCTTTTTGTGTACCCACTAGAAGGGAGTCCCTTACTGTGTGTAAGACAGTGGGGCTATCGGGTTTGATAATGTTTATATAAGGGGATAATTTGTAGGTCCATTGACCAACCCATTGGTGGGTTTATCAATATCGAGCATAAATGATTCAATGGGCATTCCGCAGTCAGGACTGCAGCATTCCAACATGCTCAAAGATTTTTGCTTAGATGGAAATATTTAAATCATAAACATTCTCTTGTAATTTGTAAAATGTTCCATAAGTAATGGTCAGCAAAGAGTTTGGCACTCGGATTAGAGATAGGAGATCGGAGTGCTGTAAAAATAACTTCACATGAGAATTCTCAACCAATTTATTTGAATACATAAATGTTTATTTGTATTGTAAAGGAAGTCTTGGCCCACACACAATGTATTGGCATTTGTTCCTTTTTTTTCTCCCAACTCAACCACATTTAAGCCAGCAAATACTTTTTAAAGTTCACTCAAAGATGATTTGGATTTTGTTGGCCTCTGGCGGTATTTACTTTGCTGCATTGATTCTGCAGGAAATTCAATTAAAATTGATGCTGTCAGTGCTACTGCTGCCAATTGTTTGGTGGGATTAGATGGAAACAAAGAAAAGGAGATGGAATCACTGTCGAGTGTCTTCGGCTTAAATCACAGTTGAGGAATCCTCTGGCAGCCACTCGATAACTTAATTCGAAAACGCATTCGCCTTCAGGCGCACTTACAGTTCTCTCTGCGATATTGTTGTTTCGGGAGGGGCTCAGATCGGGGCTTCCTTCAAGGTACTCCAATGTGCCACAACAAAAACAACTAGCAGCTGTTGTCCACAGCATCTGCTGTTACCATTGCAGCCGCCGGCAAGTGACAGGCAAGGATGGCCGGCAAGGACCAGGACCAATCCCACCCAGCGACCGCACAACACCCGGAGGGAACACATCCAACTTTCGGGCAACGGGCCTACGTCCGACCAAGTGAAAACAAGCGTGAACAGATTCCACTCTTACCCCAACAAAAAACAGGATGCAGCACGGCGCATCCTGCGCCTTTGGCTTTTCGGCGGCCCAGCAACTGAAACTGCAACTGCCACTCGAATTTTGAATTACGGCCAGGATGGGCTGGCCGCGTGTTTAGATCCACTTCCTGGTTGCCTTTCGCAAAGTTTGGCGCCGCCACTTCCCTGCCCCGTGTGCAACTTTGCAACTGTACATAAATTTAATTTCATTTTATGAGGCGGCCCAGCAACATCTTTGAGAACTTTACCACACACTATAAAATCTACACGGAGCGAAAATTACTTGTTTCCGATAAGATAATTCGAGAAACAAATGTTTAAAAAATATAAAATAAGGTGCAGATATTTTCGAAGAACTGAAAAAACTGAATTAAGTCTTGCCTCTGGCCCATATTTAAGTTTCAGTGTATGCGCGGCTAATGCAATTTTATTTCTATTTCTGCCATTTTTCATTGCAGCCAGACTTGCCGCTTTCCACTTGCCACTGCCGCTTTTGTGGGCGTCGGGAAACTGTTTCGGTGAGTTAAGTATGAATTATGTTGTTTTAGCGCTGCGTTCCTGAGTTCGAAAACTTATTGAAATATGCCGCAGCAGCAGCAGCAGCACCAGCAGCCGGCCACTACACCAACTCCTGTGTGTCCTTTTAAGCTTAATTGAAAGTTCGGCCCTCACCCAGCCCACGCAGGCCACCAAAAGTTTGGCCAGAACGCACTATGTTCCGACCAGCCAGGTTGTAAATTAGAGACAGCTGGCAACTACATACATATGTATGTTTGTATGTACATGGGAGAGTACACTTTGAGGCGTTTGGAACTGTTAACTGCATTTACAAGGTAGAGATTTTGCATTTACATTCCTGTGGGCTGGCTGAAATTTTAATTTAATTACGAATTTAGATTCAATTTGACTATTAAATAGTTGTCAATCAAAAAAGTTGTGGCTGGCTGACAATATTTTTACATTTGTGTCAGAAAGTTGCCACATGCAAGTCAAGCCCACACAAATGTCACATCAAATCTCACATATACCAACGGAGATTGATGCACACAAAGATAGAGAGACAGTTCTCTGAGAATTGCCCAATCTATACGGAGAAATTCTGCACAGAACTTTTCACGCACAACAAATTTTGCTGGCGGTAAACAAGACATGGAGAAAGCCAGCGGGAAAAATTCAAACAACGCCAGAAATCTTTTGCAGCTGCTCATAAAAATGTCAGACATACACCATCCCACCACATCCTCTGTCCTTACAGACTAGTTGCAGTTGCGTTTGTGAGCAATTTGTTATTCGATTTTTATATGGCCATGCAAAACTTCAACTTCCAGAATGACAGTCACTGCCATGTCAGCGGAGGAAACCCTACTCCATTTTGTCTGTGAAAGAGGAGGGCCGGTGCCTGGGAGTGCTCTGGCTGGCACCACGGAAATGGCTTGAAATTGTCAGCTGCGCAATGATGCACATTAAGTGTCAAGTGCCAAAAGTTGTCGACAACAACAAGAGAATTTTCCTCAACTTCTTTGAAGAGGACGGGGCCCGGGCACTCGCACTGACGCCGCCTGTCATTGTGAACCGGAAAGACATACTCGTACACATTTATTTATTTATTTATTTTCCGTTAACTCTTCGTCTTCGATTTTGTGTGGCTGCAATTTTCAAACGTGCTGCTGTCTCGTCCTCAGCTTTACGTTTCCCATTGTGCACAAACGGAATTTCAAAGGCCATTTGCGGTTAAAAATTCGGTGAGCGCTTGGAGCTGGGAGGGTGAATGAGTGCATGGTGCATCCGATCCTTATAACAATAGTGCAATGAGGGCACGCTGACGCCATATTCAATATTTATTTACGCTTCAATTTCTATTTGAGAGAACGAGAGAGTTCTCCACCCACCCAACAGTACGGAGGATACTCGTATTTCACAGAGTTTTCAGTTCCGGCTCAAGTACGTGCTCCGCTTGATTTGCTGTTCTTTCTCAAGATGTAGAGTAAAAAGGGGAGTGGAGTGGCACATATTTTGACGCATGTTTGTCAAATGTGCAATATGTTTTTATCACTATTTATAACTCCTTTTGTTGTTGTTGTTGCTTACCCAGCAACTTTAGCTGCATTTGAATTATCTATTTGCTGAGCAAATAAAGAGCACAATTTACATCTCAAACTCATGCATTTTCATCAATAATTGAAAAGAGAGTGACAGGCACGGCGTACAGTGAGTGGAAATCCAGTTTCTCCCCGGGGGCAAACACGATGCGAACCTTCCCCCTGCCCTGCCCAAGTGCATCCAATTGGAAAAGTTGTAAAATCAACAAGTCATTGGCAAACAGCGACGGCCCAGACGACAGCGCAAAAACATCTCTGTTAAAATGTTTTGCTTATTTGCATATAAAAATACACAGTCAGCGAGAGAGGCAAAGGGAGAGTGAGTCAGAGAGTGAGAGACAGACAAGTCCGTGCGCAAGCAAACAGTTGCTCCTGGGGGACTGGGAACAAACGGTCTGAGTGGGTGGGCAGGCAATCGTCAGGTGCTGGCTGCCGATGCTGCTCAAGTGCATGAAAGAGTTGCAATGGCTGCCAGCGGTGCAGAAATAACTGTATTTAGAACCGGAAACGGAACTGAGCGGACCCATATGTGTTTCCCTGTGCCCCTGCGAGCGAGCAGAAGCTTTTCTGGAAATTGAAACGGTCGAAATTTTATTTCCCCGGCAGCTGCCAGCCAGCCATTGCGAAATAGGAGACACAACTTCAAAAGGTTTAAAGACCACCCCGGAAACAGCTTCCTGTAGCGTTGTCTATTCGAAAACCAACTTCAAATGAGCTGCTCGAGGATTTGTGTGGTCGTTCTGAAGCTCAATCGACTTCTTTGTTAATTTAATTTCCTCTGCGAACGGCAGACCTTGGCTGAAAATCCAACTGCCATTTTAAACAATCGATTCTAAGCCGAAAAATTACGAATTCAATAAGCCCCACCAAATATAACGTGTACCTAAACATCTGCACACAGTTTAGTTACACCAAATCGAACAATCGCGAATGCTGTATAACAAGCTTAATTTCCACCGGGGATCATGGAACCTGTATCGTGTACCCTGCCCGATATAGAAATGTAAATTAAATCCAGTCCATCTCTCACATTGAAATAACTACAGTGGCAAACGTCTAGCTCATAGGGTACTCCAGCTAGTATCTAACAAACGGAAAACAATATAATAGTTAAAGTTTTTGACAGTTTAAAGCCGAATCTGGCTGTGTGTGGTGGCTGGAAGCGGCCAAAATGGGAGGCAAACTTTTTGTTTGCATGGATTTTTCCATGCGGTGTCTCTCTCTCAGCCGGACGGCGAACATTTTTGCAATTCTCGTGCAAATGATGCCCTCCGGAAGTGCCCGGACACATGGCTCAGAGCGTCCAGAGCGTCGGCGACACACCAGCCCAAAGCACAATTCTGGCAAGGGGGATGGTGGCTGTGGGTGTTGGGGGGTTGGCTGTTGGTGACTTTGCGTAGCGTATCCGCAAAATCAATGTTAAGCTTGTAGCGTGCAAAAGTTAATGCCGCAGTCCGGCCCATTCCGACCACACGGGGCCAACCAGAAGAGCAACTAAAAAGCCAAAGCGGAAAATGGCTTCAAACTCAGATACAAATGCAGGCACGCCCACCCACAAAAAAATGCAAAACATTTCAGAACAATCTGGTGGAGACTGCAAGATACCCAGGATTTCAAATTATTTTCTTGGGTTGCATGAACAAATTCAGATTACCTTTGGCAATGGAGGACATTGGTTAGGAAGGTACACCAGGGGAAGGTACATCTGGGGGTTACCAAGTGACTTCTCTGCCTGCTCTAACCTTAGTTTGTTCGCTATTATTTCAGACACATAAACGCTACACTTCGCCCCGAATATAATCAACGAAACGTAAAAACGCTGCCATATTTATTGTGAAATTTATCTGTGAATGCGTATGTGTGTGAGTGTGTGTGTGTGTGTGTATGTCCAGCAAAAAGAACAATACAATCACTAAGCGCAAGAAAAACAATGAAACTAAAATTATAAATGCAAAAACGATGCTCAGGACGCCATGAAAAGCAAATTAAAATCGAAAAACGAAACAGACTATGAATAGATATTGCCTCCATATGTACTCATATGTACATATGTATGTATGTGTTTGAACATGTATGTTTGTGGCCTGACACTGCCCAGAATAAGGGACTTAAAAAGAAACAAAAATCCGAATTGGTTTGTATGTTTGAATATTGTGCAGCATTTTGGCTATTGTTGCATTTCTGTTGTCATTTTTAAGCCAATTTCCGTTCATTTTGACGCTTCCGGTGCATACACACATACACACGTATGTATGCATTAAATGAAGTTTTTTGTTTAGTTTGGCTTTTGACTTTTGGTTTTTGGTTTTCTTCTGTGGCCGCTGCTGCCGCTTCTGCTGCTGTCGTATGCCACACACCAGAGACCCATGCGCTTTGATCTGACCAGAGAAATGCACATTCAACGGAAGCACAACTGGGGAAGCCACCAATCCAAACTCGAGAGTTGTCAATTGTTTAGAAAAATAAATTACATTTCATTAGAAATTTGATATCTGATAAAAGTCGACGGAATTGTTCATTTTTCGAACACTTGCTAAAGTGTCAACAAAAAGCCTTGAGCCATGAAATATTATGCAATTTTATGTATCATGTTCACCCTTAATTCAAACATTAACCTACATTCCAAATGAAAAACATGTCCAAAGTTAACACACCAAATGGGATTACTTCTTTTAATGGCATGCAATCGCATGCGAAAGTTAAGTGACTTTAATTGGAAAAAGGCAACTCTAATCTTTTACATCAGCTTACATGTTGCATTCATCCTGTCCGCGCTGCCCACTTTGATTAATGCCAGCAGATCGTGGAAGTAAATCCAAGCAATGAACGGCATCATTAAACAAAAACCGAAATACACAAACACAGAGAGCAAAACGTTAAATGGCAGCTCAGCAACAGTTACAATCACACAAAACGAAGCAAATAAAAACGGAGGCAGCCACTTTTTTCGCATCATTTCCACCTCAAAATTGTATAGACAACAGCAAATAACCCATTGCCAGACCAAACATATACGAATTTATTCCGCAAACAGTATGCACAGCAGATAAATATGAAAAAATTAAATTGGTTTTACACGATTGCACATAATAAAATCTAACAAATGCCAGAAAATAAGCAGATGGAGGGTTGCTGCCGATGCTTAAACGATTTGAAGACGTTTATTTATTATTTAAAGAGGGTCAGAAAGTTGCTTTATATTTGTCCATTCCTTTTTGCATGCCAATTATAAGTAATTTGTATCTGCTTATAAATGCTTTGGCTTACATTTTCTTGTCTGTAAAGTTTTTGTCTTTGAATTTCAAGCACATTTACTTAAGCTTCCTTTGACACATATCCTGTCAGGGCACAAACGATTTGATAACAAATTTCCAAACAACTTTCAATTATTTCTTAAAGCCCATCTTTTCTGTGGAAAAATTTCCATCCGTGCACACAGATATGAATCCATATACAGTATTTACTGCTTCACGAGTCCTCCACCAATCCAACCCCCCGCTTGGGGCAATGCAAATAGGTGACACAGGGAAACGGAGGGAGCGGCAGGAGGTCATTCATGTTGTAGGCACAAACAACAAACAGGGCAGGAGGACGTTTGTTAATATTTTGCGTCTCGTTTTCGCCGACAGTCGATGACAGTTGCGCTGGGCAATGTCCACATGGCCGATGAATTGCATAGGTCGCTGAAAACGGCAATATGCGTGGTGTGTGCCAAAGGGGCATCGGACAAACAGTTGTCACGCTGTTTGCCGGATAACCGTTATTATATCGTACTCCCCACGAGTGCGGTGTGTCTATGTATGACTGTGTGTGTGGCAGTGTGGTGTGTACTTATTCCAGGCCCCGTTTGAGCCTCGAATCCATATGACATTATGACGACGCATCATCGAACAGAGCTGGCAACATTTCCGCAGCTTACGAATATGAGTATGATGGGGTGGAGGGGAGCGCCATATAATTCTCGATTTCCCCTAGCACCATGACCCATATCCCGGGACATGCCCGCCGCATCACCGTTCGCTGACCAGGGCGACTTTTTAATATGCTCGATTTGGTGCGTTTTAATTAAAAATTGTGCGCTGGTGTTCCTGTCTATTTTACAGGGCCAGCTGTTTGTATTTCGGGGCAGAATTAAAGAAATTTCATTATTCTGGCAGAGGCAGAGGGTACACAAAACTGCTGCTAGGTCCAATATTTGCACATCCCAAACAGAGATACATGGACACACGGATACGCATACGAACAATTTATTATGCCGCTTTTCGTGTGAAAGTTTCTCCAATTAAAAGCCAAAGCGCAGCATATGCAGGTCACATTGTTGAATATTTACATAAAAGCAGGGAATATTAATAAGGAAAATGAGCTGCAGCTGGAATAATCGCACTTTATTGAGAAAATCGCGCAATAAAAAGGCACTTTGGTAGACAACACCAACAGCGAGCAGTAGAAGCGGAAGGTGCAAAAAGTTTATTCATTTTGGCAGCGAAACAGAAATGGTTTCCAACTTGTGGACACACAGGAAAGTATGGCAGGTTTTATGAACCGAAGCTATAGACACCCTTGCCGAACCAGTCCACGATAACTTGCACATTTTCTTTAAGAAAACAAATACTTTAGTTCCCTCTTTCTCATCAGCAAGCAACAGCAAAGCAAACATAATAACTTTTGTGAGGGCATACAACATACAGTTAGTGCTTGCCCCCCCACATGTTCCATAAATATTATTGCCCCGTATTTCATTTTGATGTTGACTTTTGTCTCACTTCTTCGACAACAATACCGTGGAAAAAATGTTTATTTGGCGTGTTGCAGCAACACAAATAATTGTCGAGCAGCATGTTGCAGCAAGTGTACACATGCGTGTGTATTTTGTGGTTGTTATTTACGACCTGGTCCTAAGCAACTGGTATAAATATTAAGTATACGCAACATTGTCACGTCAAAAACTAATGAATAACTGTGGTAGAAGCTGCCGCCATGCTCTCGATTTATGCTGATGGAAAACTTTAAGCGACAAAGCATCGATAAAAACCAAACGTTATCCAGGGCTCGCCCCTTACCGCTCACCCCTCCAACACACACACACACACACACACACACATTCAAATGGCAACAGCTGGGCGGACAAGGCAGCCTCTATGCATATATCGGGCTTTCTATGTCGTATATATGGCATGTATATCTGTCTATGTCTCTATGCCGTTCATAGCTGTTGAAAAAGTGGGCTTTCCAGGGGAAAGGCTGCTGCTGCAGCTTTTGATATCGCATGGCCTGCATGGCTGTGGCCATGTGCGCGTAAAGTCCATTAACATGAAAGGCAAACAAACAGGAGTCCGAGCCCATGGCATCCCATCCCATCGCGCACTTTTGGACACTCCATAAACAACGATGCATCGCATGAAAAAAAGGCCAACACTAAACAAACCCCACAAAATTCCAGCTGTAGTTGCATTCAAAAAAGTTTCCTACGGTGGTGGAACACAAATTGTGTACCGGAAGTTTGAGCTGAAATGTGATATTTTTCGGTAGAAAGTCCCAAGGAAACCAGTAAACCGAATCCACATCATATTAATTGAAGCATTCCAAGGGGAAACGCCATCTAATAAAGTATTTTCCTCCCCAGATTTGATTATTAATTGCAATTCCGGACTGGGAATGCGAGGCAAACAATGCCAAACCCTAGGACTTGATTAAATCCAAGATACAGTATCTTTTACTCACTTCCTCTCTCTCTCTCTCTATCTCTCTCTATCTTGCAGGAGTCGAATCTGATTGGAGACGAAAGAGCACTGAAGGAGCGAAACAGAAAGGTAAGAGCTGGCTAATTGAATGGTTTCGAGCAAATAGCAAATAGCTAGGCATCCAGACAATTATTGTTGGTAGCATTGGTCAGGTCACGCCTTTAAGCCAATCAACTAAATCAACAAAACGCATACGACATGTATTCCCGACACACATCCGATACACACACACACACACACACACACACACACAGGGAATAGGACCAGGACCAGCACCATGACTACGCTTGTTGACCCACAGCGCCGACACAACACGAAAATTCAAGGCTTAAAATCTATACAAATAAAGGGATTGCGGGGATTGGGTGGTGGCAGCCGACAATTATTACTCGTATGGGAGAATGTTTTTCGGGGCGTTGAGGGGGCAGAATTTTCATTGAATACAATGGTATTAGCTACAATAACAAGATGCGCCACACAATTGAGCAAATATTTAGTGATGGGAAATAATTTCTAATAGGTTTTCCTTCCAATTGAAATCGGATATTATGTGCTCGTGTGATTCTGATTGTGTTTGCGCACTATTTGGGCAGAATTAAACAGAAGCCTGGTCACAAAACTCCACACAAATATTTGTTCTGCCTCTACGGCCGACTGTGGTTCGCCCAGAAGTTTTTAATTAAAGGAGGCCCGTACGAGAGTAGGCCAGAGCTGGGGCTGTAACTAGAGCTGGTTAAGCGATTGCTTAATTATAAAGAGTTTATTGTTTTGCCATTAAACTTGGCTCAGTTGCCTAAGCCATCCCCGGAGACTGGAGACCACTCAATCATTAGTTATGCAAAACACATAACAGCAAGTATGCCGGACCCGTCTTGGTCTCCGGCTTGGAGCGTGCTAATTTGCAATGGTGGAGACCAAGGAAGAACCAAAAATTAAACAAACAAGGATGGAAAGAAACTTGAAGTTTGCTTTGGCAGCTAAGAAATTAAGCTGTTGTTACAAACTGAGCAATCTGGTCTAACCCCCGGAAGAAAAAAAAAGGTTGTGAGTAAATATTCCGTACCACACTACATATCTTCAGCTCCAAGAAAGATTGACACACACAGATACTGGCTTGTAGTCGTAGTCGGCTCTGTATATTCAGGTGCGTGTGTGTTTATTTCACACCTGAAGTGTGATGAAAATATGACAACAGAAGCACATCCCACGAGCAGACAGACAGGTAGGTGCAGAGTGAAAATTGTGCTCCTCTCTTGAACGTGTGACTGTGGGGCATTCGTGCTTGAAGAGTTTTCTTTAGCTCTACACAAACAAACATAACTCGAAGCTCTTCGTCGCCTTTACACATTGCTTTTCACTTTTTGTCTAGCAGTCCTTGCCATCATCATCGTCATCGCCATCGTCGTCGTCGTCGTAGTCCTAGTCGGTTTGTCATCGATATTGTTTCCCTCCTTCCACACGAAGACTCTGATTGAAAATGCAAATTGCAAATACTAGTTGGAGGAGTATTCAGAATTAGGTCGGGGCTACATTTGGTTAGGTTTTTCCCTCATTCAATAATATTTAGCTATACCCATCTATCCCACACGAATAAACACTGCGCCTCCTACGCCTCATGATAATCAACTTAATCGACAGGATTCCATTGCAGGCATCCGAAAATCTGTCAAGTCAGCAAACTTTACTCAACTTTGACCGCATCTCCCCACTTCCCACTCACATTCATAACCATTTGCGCCATCATCCAGGGAGAACCAAGCGTGTATACCTGTACAATAATAGAAGAATGTTCATTTAATGCTGTTTGTGTGGGAGGGTAAATATTTGTGTGGCCTTGACAAATCAGTTTTTCTGGTATTTTTTATAATAAGCGGCATGACAAAACGCCAAAACATTCAGCTACCAGCCCCAGCCCGAGCACAAAAACTCAATTGATTGGGGAGATGAAATTCCTTGGGGCCGGAGGAAGAGTTTGATGGCAAAAAATAGAAGCCGTGCAAAATTCATACACGACCCGGATTGATTTTGGGCATGACAAAAAGCCAGTTGGGACCACACACACAAGGATCTATACATTTATGCTTGGGTATATATCAAACACACTCATGTGGGGGGACAAAGAAAAGAGCAAAATTTGGCTTGCTTTGTGCGCTGCCTTCCTGTTGCGACAACGACACGGCATTTATAAAAATCATACGCACTGTTGTACCAGCAGCACACGGGGGAAAAAATGTTGGCACGACAGGAGCCGAAGCAGAAGCAGCAGCAGCAAATGGAAATATATTCTTATGGCTTGTCGGGCAGCATGTTCGCGAACGATTCTCGCATACATAATGCCAATTTTCGACAAAAACTGTCACCTTTTTGGCGTTTTTGTAGTTGGGCGGCTCATAAAAACGTTGGACTCTATTCGTCAGCCTGAAAGCATGAATAGTTGCGATCATTCTTAGATAGAAGCCTCGTCATTAACAGACCTAATCCACTTGGCTGCTGTGCGACCAACTGTGATAGATTCGCCCAGTTAAACAAATCATTTGAACATTGTCTGGGCTCTGATTTTGCCAGCATAGAAGCAAAACTCAAATTAAAACTCCAATTTATATGCCCGTCGTGGGCGGAGTGGGGAAAGTCGAGCAAGCAATGAGCAAAACTTCTGTCAAAAGAAACTCATTGAAAGCGAATATTAAGTAAATGAAACAATGCATAATGTATGACATCAAAATGTAAGTAGAATGCTGATTTTATATAGAATAACCACCAGAGAGGGAGCTTATCACCATGGAAAAAAGTTATGGCTTAAGTCGCTTGAAATATTTTCAACTTTTTGTTAAATATGAGGAAAATAAACCAAAGCTTGTGGAAACCTTTTCATTTGTAACTAAAAACCGAAATCATCAGAGCTATGAATTGTGTCAAAAACAGACCACTTTAACAAGAACTATTTTCAATATATATTGATGAGTTATAGAGCTGTCAGGAACACCAGCAACTGTGATTCGAATACAAGAAAAATAAACCAGAAAACACCAAATTGTGATGGCGTGAGAAAATCATATAAAATACCTGCTCAAAGTTGAAGGAAGTTGTCATTGGGCAACACTTACGAGACGAGCACACACACTCACACATGAGAGACATACGACAACTTGAAAATGACAATTGGGGGGGCGTGCGTGGAGGCGTTTCCTCAGACAAGACTTTCAATTGCTGCCGGAAAAACTTTTGGCCAATTTAAAACGGCAAAAAGAACGGCAACAATGTCAACGAGAATGAGAGAAAGGTAAACCTTGAAAGAGATCAGGTATTAGTCACGCCCTGACAGATTCCGGCCAAGTTAGTTGGAGTGGAGCCTGCTTGCATGCAGGCGACTCAGAGCGGATCCCTCGTCACTTGGAAACCGGAGCAATTGGCGAATTCGAGAGACTGCCTGTCAATCAGGGACGAGAGCAGCAATGGCCAACAAACCAACTAATTGGTTGAAATGCAAAGCAGAAGGAAAGCAGAAGCCGAAACCAAAATTGGGGCTGCCGAAAAGTTTTACGCTTATTACACACAAAAAAAAAACAAAAAGTACCAGCTAAACAAAGCCAACTGATGTACAAAAAATGGTGTTGAGAAATTCATGATTCATTAGCAAAGCCAGGCCTGGACGGCGCCAAAGACGGGACCGTCCGTCCCGACACAAGTGGGTAACTTTACAGCCAAGTCTATTGCACCGACACCGACACCGACTCTCAGTCAGTGCTCTGGCTAATTTAAATTCTTTTGGCGCCGTCGCCCCCAAAGATGCCACATCTAGACGAGACGCAGCGACGAGGTCCTCCTATTAGGAGTAGTCGGGCATGACAGCTCCTTAAGCGCCTGAGTGATTGACATCAAAAAGGTCTAGGCGGCGCCAGATACGAGTACGAGCACGCGTATAAGTGAGTGTGTCTATGGATGTATTGGGGATATAATTAAAATTTCGCATCATTAGGAATTTGTACATTTGCCCGAACTTTTCGCCAAAGTTTAAGTTGAATGAGCGGGCACTTTTCATATTTATTTCCCCAACTGGTTTATTGAATGAGTGAAGCGAGTATTGGAGCAGATTCTTTAAAATCCCACAAAAGAGAAGTTCCTTAAGACCACTAATGATTCCAGAAGCTTTGTCAGTGCGTTGTTGGCCGGGACAACGCTCGACACTCGCTCAAAGTTAATTTAATGGAAATGATAACAAAATGTTAACAATCGCTCAGAATGTATGTCGTCCAGGACAACAGGCAGAAGGCTGTGCTGTGCTGTGCATTCTCCACAGTTGGGCAATCAAATGTTGTGTGCAATGAGAGCGGATATGCCAGGACTAGAGCTACGCATCCAGCCATTTCCATCTCCATCTGCAGGTCTGACAGCCGTCTTAGGCAACTGCCTAACAAATCTCACTAAATGCCAAGACAAAAGTAAATGAAATTGCACTAAATCTAAAGGGAATTTGTCTTCAAAAAATTTCAACCTTTTGGCCCCAGGCGGAACTGGGTCTTAAGTTTGGGTCTGAACAGGGGTATGGGGATGCATGGGGTAGCATCAAAAAGGTACGAACAGGCCTAGGCCAAAGTGATAAACCGTTTCCACTGACATTGCATATAAATCTGCTACAAAGTTGCGTCTGCCACGGCGGCACGGACAGCTCCAAATCGTGCCGGATTTGTCACGCCAAATCGTTGGAAATGCTTTTGCCTTGTTTATGCGTCTCTCCGCAGCGCACAGCACAGCACACCCCCCTCAGACCCACTGCTATTTTAGTCAAATTTCGCACAACAGCAACAAGAACAGCATTATAGAGGATAGTAGCAGCAGCAGCGTGTCTCTCTGACTGTGTCGTAAATCTTTGAGTAGCTTATCTACAACAAAACTGTGCGCTTTTTTAATTCGCCGGGAAATGTATGCAAAACGGAGCCAGCCGAAAGCCAGAGAAATCAAGAAGAAAAAAAATGCTACAAAATTTTAGAGCAAATCAAGAAGAAACAAAATGTAAAGAAAGTTTAAACTTTTGCATACCCTTATAAGGATCGAGCTGTACATTTATTTAA